CTTGAACTTTCCTAGGGCTTTCCTGCTGCTGGGCAAGGCCTTTCCTAACATGTGGGGAGGGAGCGAGGCGCGTGTTTCTCCCGGGGTGGATCTCGGCTTGGAGAGCATTTCTAGGAAACGAGGTGGGAGAAGCTTGCGTGTTTCCTGTTGAGTTTGAAGCCGTTGCTAGAGCGTTGTTGCAGCCGCCAAGGAGCTGATTAGATCCTAGAGAAGTTTGCGAGACGATGTTTGGTGGGACCACCCGATGAAACCGTCAGTGGTGACTCAGCGGGTTAGTGCTAGGCTGCTGAAACAAGATGCGTGTGGGTCAAACCCACCGCTCCTCTGGAGGTTTTCTGCCCAACATTGAGATCCTTGAAAACCCACGGTGGCTGTTGTACTCGGTCCTCCAGGAGCCCGAATCGGTTGGATCGCAGTGAGGTGGGTTTTTGTCTGTCTTGAGTCTCCATTCTGTTAGGTGGCAGTGGGCTCCTTGTGTTTATTTTTTCTAGTTACCCGTCCTGTTAAGGCTTGGTTGGCATAGTAGAGGTGGGCAAGAAAGGAAAGTGTTGCGTTGTTACTATTATTTTTGCGGTGACGCTAAACAAAAAAGTTGATTCATAACTACGAGTGTGGTTCCGTCACGTACACTAGACGTTACCGTTGCTTGCAGATAGCCCTCCTAGCCCAGAAGGTATTTTTGTTTGGCTGTTGTGATAGAACTCTTCAGCTTACATTTTATCTTTGAGCTCAAGAGTTATTGAGTCTTGCCTATTGTGCATTTCCTCATCCTTGGAAATGCAGGGCCAAGCGAACACCAATGTTTTCTTACACCCACCAGGTATTTCTTAGACAGGTGTTACCTCACTGCTTTGAGGTTTCCAAGTGTCCTTAAAACAAGCATATTTTTTCAAGATCTCATCTGTTAATAATTGGAAATAACTGCTTAGGGAATTCTGAGTGTTTGAGGGAAAAGCGTTCCATTTCATTGGATAAATGCAGCTGGAAGGGCCAAATAGGGATCTCACCCAAGATATAGTGTAGGGGTAGTGCCAGCACACATTAAACAAGAAAATAGAACATATTGGGGACTTTTTTCTTTTTATCCAAACCAGTAAGTTGAATCTGCTCCCAAACTACTGGACCCTCATTTGAAGGGATTTTTTTGGGGGTGTGTGTGTGTGTGTGTGTCAGGGTGGTGGTGAAGATAAGCACACAAAGTCCCCTCCTCTCCAACTCTCACCAGGGTTTTAAAGTAGCTGTTGACATGAGGGAGGGGGAAAATTTTACATACATACATACATACATATATACATACATACATACATACACACACACACATATATATTCAGTGTCCTTATATCTATATATTAAAGGAAATAGAATACCTGAGTGACAATGTTTACTCATTGGGCTAAGGTATTCGTTTAAACATGGCTTCAGGGAATAGTTTCATTTCATGGTTTGAGAGCAACGCAGGGCCAAAGTTTTGGGACTCTCCAGAGTTACAGTAGGTCCAATAAATCTTAACTCTAAGTATTTTAAGTTCTGCGCTATACTTACCCTTCTCTCCTGGCTTATTTTAAAAATAACCCCAAAATCAAATTCACTGCCATCGAGTCAATTCCAACTCATAGTGAGCCAATAGCACTGGGTAGAATTTTTTCCAAGACTTTACATTTTTTTGAGAGTAGAAAGCCTCCTTAGGATCCACCTATTGTATTCCTGAACATTCCGTAGTGGTAGCCAAGTTCCATGGAATTCTTTTGGTCTTGAGGTGGAGGCAAGTGGTACATGCAGACAACCCTGAAGTCCAGTTCCTTCTTTACCCCTTGGGTTGTCTCTTTCCCCAAACTCATAGTTGTATCTTAGATGGCCACATGAAGCGCGTAAGACCGCAGACACTACTCGCCTTACTGGGAAGGAAGACATAAACTTTAAGAACTGTTATGCCCATTGATAGGATTGGTCTTGTGGGAGAATCCAAAGTCCCCAAACTAAGAGCAAATCCTATGAGGTGACTGATTATGTGTCATTCGTATCAGCATCTGTAACCTTCCCTTTCCCTTTTTGGCGGTGGTTATGGTTGCACAACCACATATAAGCTAGCATTTGCCCATTCATCCCTTTCCCCTCGATTTTCAAAAGAATTAGCTGCTAGCACTTAAAACTGAGAGATGTCACCCAAACTTTCCTTGACAAACTGGATAGAGGCTGGCTTTTGGATAGGGCACATGTTTGGATTTGACTGCAAGGTATCTGTAGGTATTGTGGTTGGAACCCTTCGCATGTTGTGCTCACATGTGCAGATGTCTTGTGTCAATCAGTCGGGGCATCAGGGTTTGGGCTGGATAGCACCATTGCTCTCCTTGATTACATAGATCCCTTTCCTGTAAAGCCTGGGCCAGGTTCAACTCCAGTTCTTTTTCTTAGTTTGCTTCAGGGCCTCCCTTGCTGAGCACTGGAGGGATATAACCCAGTGCTGTCTAGGGAGCTGCCTTCTGGGATGCACCTCTTTCTGTTTATTTGGTGGAAAACTTTTGGGGTGGGGCCCCTAGAAGTGATCAGACTGGATTGTTACTGAGTCTCAAGATTGAAATAAGCTGTCTATGGGTCTCTTGAATGGCTGCTCCATGTCAGATTTGACTGACTCAATCCTCTGACAACTCTGCGAGACCACTTTTCAAAGTTGGTGCACTCGACTGGAATCTGCTTTATGCTGAACATTTTTGAGCAAACTGCAGCATATGCCTTGTACTTAAAGGCTCTGCCCAATGTCAGTTGTGTGTTATTTATGGACCAGTTTAGAGCAGTGCCTAATTTCTTGCTTTACCTGGTTCCTCAACAGTGCTAATTGGGTAGTCATTAGCCACATATGGCATAAAATAAAATTAAATGAAAAAAATGCCCCTTACGGATGCACTTATCATCCGGGTGCACAGCATCATTCATTTAGTGGCTTGCAGCTGCAGTATTGGGCAGAGCAGATACATCTGGTTTCCAATGTCACAGAAAGTCCTATCTAAAATAGGGGTGGAAAGAGCAAGATGGTAACGGATGTCGCCTTTTCTTTTCACTCCATTAAATCTAGGGATTCAGTAGTGTTTGTACTGAAGAACATCAGACTCTGAGCTGTAACCTGCATTCTTACCCAAAATCCTGCACACGGGCAATGAGCACATCAAAAAGAATGTCATTTTTGTCATTGGCGTCTGTGACACACGTGCTCACCTAGGACAGCACGGGTACATGTGTTTTGCCACCTGTGTCAGCTCAGACCACCCTGGTGGGCTGCTTTGTCTTCAGTCTCCCAGGGCCGTAAGCACTTCAAGTTCTTCTCGGTGATGTTTGAAATGTGAGTACAGCCACGTGCACAGAGTTAACCCTTCTTGTCACCATGTGAAGAAGGACTTGATTTGTTTCTGACTGATGTGAGGGAGCGGGCTGTTCGGAGGCATGTGGTAATCAGGGTACTGGTTCACTGGATGGGACTCAATTATATTTACAATTAAGGTTGTTTCTGGCCTCCCTTTCCTGACTTGTACAGCCTTTGGCTCAGTATTTTGTAGCGAGTTCTCAGCATCTCTTAGCGTACCACACTTACTCCCTGTAGCACTTGTCTTCCCTGTTAGCTTTGCGTTCATCGGTGAACTGAGACTTGGTATTGGGTGGCTGATGGGGAGGGTTTACGTTGCCAGATGAACCGAGCAGGTGGGCTAGAAGTCAAGTGGGCAGTCACGGAGTTCGTTGGCTCCTGCTCCTGGGTTGACATACCCACCTTTCTGATGGAGGCCTTTTTAGCACTGAAGACCCTTAAGGTTCTCAGAATTTTAATCTTTCCTGACCGGCTTCCACTCTGGCTCTTGTGTGTGGTAGAGGGTTCTTTCCTCCTGGCTTGGACGAGCCAAGCAGAGATAGGGTTGGTACCTAGTCTGTAGATGTTTAACCTGTGTGTGTGGCATTCTGCTTGATTGGCTTAACATAGGAAGATAGAAGCCTGCGCGGTGGACCCCGTTAGTTAGAATCCCCTATAGTGACTAACGGGCCTTCATGTCTGCAGGTGAAGGTTGTTTTCCTGGGTTCATTCAGGCGCTTTGGATTCTCATGGAAACCCTTTGTGCCCCAGCATAGCAGTGCAATCCCACCTCCCTGGGAGGTGGAAGGCCACCCGTGTGCCCAGTGAAGCAGGAGGAGACTAAAAGCTCTGACTTAGTTTACAGTGTATGCAAGCAGTGCAACGGCAAAAAAAAAAAAGGCAGTACCGGGGGTGGCGGGGGCAATGTTTGATCACAAGGGGGAAAGAGACAAACTCGGCATGAGCCCAGGTCTGATTCCTATGAGGTAGAGGTCAAATGTACATGATGCTTCTTCCAACCTTTTTACCAGTTTTGATGGCAACAGTCTGTTGCAAGGCACTCCACTTCTCTGCTTGGTTCAATAATT